TGCTTTAAGTCACCGAGTTTGCAGTAATTTGTTACAGCAGCAATAGCACAAGTGGAAAACAAAAGCGTGTAGTATATCTTTCACTTGGGCAGGCAAGTGAAGAAAGTATATCAAAGAGGGGGAGTGATCACCATGCCAGGTGAGATAAGGTGAGACCTGACCACCGGGTTTAGTGAGGTGAAGGTCCTGACGACCCTGCCTAGGGCAGTTTCAGCACTGTGGTGGGTTTCAGAGAGAACAGGGTGCTTATTACCTGTCTGTCTAAATGAATGAAAACAAGAAATGGATCAGCAATGAGTGTGTGTCATAAGAAAAATAAATAAATGAATAAGGGAAGGGAAGATGATGGATGTTGCTTAGGTATCAGTTTGGGTTCTTTACCGGGAATATTACCAAAGGTGATGACTCTCAGGTGTTTCTGGGAATCCTGTTTCTTTTTATTTCGTCCAGTGAGTCATAACTTCTAATATTTTCCCAAATTTGTTTCTCAAAGCCCTTTTACTCCCTGAATTCTAGGGTGACACCAAGGAGCACCCCTGGAGTCTATGTTTACCCTGGTCTCACATGGAACCACAGTGACCTGGGTCCCTGCACACTCTACTAACTAGCCCTAGGTAAGTCTCACCCGGCACCACAGCAGGACACAGCTTGGAAGTCACTGACAGGTAGTAAAGGATGGTGGCTGCTGAGTGGCCAGGCAGGCTCAGTGGGAAGCCCTCTTATAGACCAAACTGATCTCAATCCCCCTCAGCAGACTTCTCACGTCTACCATACTCTGCAGGTGTGGGCAGTTTGACAAGTTCCTCAAGCATGATTTTTTTTTAAAAATCTGAATTCCCAGCTCAGACCAGCTTTCCAAGTCGGGCTGTGCTCAAGATGTTCTGGAGCCTCGGGTGGGGTGGGAACCCCGTCTTATTGCACCTAGATCTCCTCTTTATTGTCCAATCCCATTTATTTACTCAAGTCTTAAACCTCTGAATGGCTAGATGGACCTGAAAGCCTGGCAGAACCACATGTGGCAGAATCTGTGGACTTCTTAGTCACTCAGAGGTGGATGTAACCTGTGGGATTAGGACATGGCACCCAGAGACATTAAGAAATCAGGTGACCCCAACAGCAGTGGCTGGGGAGTTGAGGCTTGCCTTCCTCCAGGGTCTTCTCCAACAGGGGGCTTTTATCCAGGCAGGTGGATAAAAGGTCGTGTGTGAGATGGGTAAGCTTGAGCTGCCCTTTCACAGGTATTATCCCCTTGGCAGCAGGTTTGGGGGGAGGGAAGGATTTTGGCTGGGCTGTGATGAAAGCTGTAGCTCTCGCACTAGAAAAATGTACAATAGTGCCTCTTTTTACACACAATTTCGTCTTTCATCAATTCCAGAAAATGATTCGAAGAATGCCAGAGTTAAGAAGTTCTGCTTCATATGTTTTCCAAAGGGTGACACAGACTCCACTGATGGTGCCCAAGATGATTTCAGGGGGTATGAGGATGAGCATTTCTTCTTTTCATAGCTCAATTATTTATTTTATAATCTATATGTGTTTTATCTCCATATATTTTAAAGTGCATGTAAAACTTGTGATTTCACTGGCATTATTGCCTCGCATTACTAAATACTAAAAGAAAAGGTGAATCTAGTTAAAAATAAATTTTAAATATAATCATTCAAGTGGTATGCCAATTCGAAAAAAAACCAGGACAGCGGTTCCTGGATGACCTAAGTCTGGGAAACATGGTACCTGTGGAAGGAAGGTTTGGACCTAAAGTTCTTTTCTGTTTCTTTTTTTTTTTCCCCCCTTCAATGCTGGTCGCAGTTCAGTAAATGAACTTCATGTCCCACTAACAATGTGAGCTGCAGCTAGAACACTGCCCTTTCCTGAGCTGGGGGTGAGGAGCTTGACCATGCTGGCCCCTGAGAGCCACGGCGAGAAGAAGGCCTGGCTTCCCTGCTCAGCCATTGATCTCTCACTTGCTCCAGAGAGGCAGCTTGGCTTCCTCGAGTCCGAGACCATGGCCACAGCAGACCTCGTCTCATCCCCACAGTATGTTGGCTCAAACAAGTTTGACTTGTTTTGTGTGTGTGCCTTCGTGTGAGTGTGAATGTGTGTGTAAGTGTGTACACAGATGGGTGTGGCAAAGTGGGGAACAGGGGAAACCAATGAGGCCGAGCTTTCTCCCTGGGAATTTCACAGAAGAGCTCCAGAATGCTCCCCTCCAAAGACTTCCTAGGAGGGGCACCTTTCAGAAATGAGATCCAAGTGACAGAGCAGGTTCATGACACTCTCCTTCCCCATCAACACCTCTCCTGGCCCTCACATTACAGGAGTCAGGCTCTAATCTCCACAGGTTCCTGTATCCCTGCTCCAGCAGGAGAGGAGGAAGGCGGAGAAGGTGGCTAGAAGGGCTTAGCTAGAGAGAAGAACAGCAATGCCTTGTCTCCACTCAGGCCTTAAGAAGAGGGTTTCTCTTTGAAAGGATACCCCACTCCAGATTTCTCCTCTAATTGCCTCTCTCCCCCAATTTAAAGACAACCTTATACCTGTTTCTAGAATAGATATCTATAGACAGAAGCTAACAGGCAACTGGAGTATCGAGCAAGTATGGCCAGTCATTGGTCAAATTTGGGCCATGGGTTTGTAAGTCTGTTACTAATTGTCCGTTTGTTTCCCCACATCCTCAGGTTGGGGCCCAGAGTTAAGGATGACTGCAACATGACCAAACTGGGACTCTTGGGGTAACAGGTGAGTACAGGGGTAGGGAGCAAATCTGGACTTAGTATCCTCTGAATCCAACCCCTGAGGGTTGCGAAGCAAAGCAAAATCAAACCATACTGCTGTCCTGGTCAACAGAGCCAAGAGGTGGAGCCATCAAGGCACCTGGCCAGGAGTGATGCTCACGGTGGGACCGGGAGAAGCCACACCCTAAGGCTCCTGTTTATAGAACACAGCTAAAACATATGATGGCTCCCATGAGCCATCGCAAGCCTGGAAGTCTCTGATATTCTGGTCCCAATCTCTAATTTTCTGCAGTCAGCTTTAGCTGTATCTACGACTAAACCTTTGGCCCCTTCAGTATAACCTGACACCAACATCAACTTCCGAGATTAAACTGGGCTCCCATAGCAGAATGTGGAGTCCTGGCATTTTATGGATGAAATCTCCCAAATTCAACCCCTCTCTCCCCTCAGTCACAGCCACCATAGTGCCAGCCACCATTACTGCTTGCTGGGCTGTGCAAGAGCCTCCTGCCTGGCCTCCTTACACTCACTTGGGCTCCCTTCATTCTTTCTCAGCTTTGCAGCCAGGGTGCTCTTCCAAATATGCAAATCTGACCACGCCACACCCATGCTCGAGTCCCTTCCCTGGCTTCCCACTGTTCTTAGAATCAAGTCCCAAATCCTGACCGCTGCCTAGGAGGCCCTGCATGACGTGCCCGCAGCTGATCTCTGGCTACCTCCCACATCCCTCTCCTTGCTCACCAGCCTCTGTCACCTTGGTTTTATTTCTTTGCCTTGACTGTGCCGAGCCTTTACCCTCCAGAGCCATCATACATGCTGTTCCCTCTGGCTGGAATGCTTTTCACACCACACTTTACCCAGTTAAGTCTTATCCATCCAATAGCTCTCAGTGTAAATGACACTTTCTCAAGAAAGCTCTCCCTGAACTCTTCCCCTCCAGATCCATACTCTGAGAACACAAGTAATTAAATGATTATTGTGCAATTAGTACATCTTTCCCCCCCCCCATTAGCCTGTGAGCTCCATGAAGACCAGTATTGGTTTTAGCCATTAGTGCCTCCCCAGTGCCTACCTCAGTGCCAACCATTGAAGAATTAGGCAACATAGCCCAGGCAAGGAGAGTAGCCACCTGGAATAGTGAGAGGCAAGTCCTTTTTGCAAAGATCTAAAAGCATTTGCTAGGGCCATCATGAAAGCAAGAGCTAGAAGGATGGAACAACTGTTGGTTATATCAAAGTATGATGGACCCACTGTCACCAGTCCTACAGCCAGACCTGGGGAAGGCCAGAGGATTCATTTTGACCTCTGGCCTGAACTGCCTGGAGCCCTGTAGATAGAGGCTATCTCCCGTGCCCAAGGATCTTTGGGATGGAGACAGCATTGATTTTGGAGTCAGATCTACATACCTTTCCACTAACTAGCTGTTTGACCTTGGACGATTACAGATCCACCCGAAACCTCAGTTTTCACATCCTAAAATGGGGATAACAAAACCTACCCCAGGCTCGATTAAAGGCTTAAATATTATAATGAGCCTGTACTGCACAGCAGCCTGCACCTCAAAGCACTAATCCCTTCTTCCCAGCAAAACAGGCTTAGCCCTGTCATTTCGCCCTTTGGACACACAAGCCGGCAGGTAAGACAAGGAATAAAGGGAAGTCCGAGGGGGTGGGAGGACATGGTCCACCCAAGACACTGCCCTGACTTCTCTGCCTACCCAGGAGAGCCCTAGAGCAAGACTGGTGATGGAGGGGACCAGGAAATCTAGGTTAGAGGAGAAGGTGACTGATCTGTGCCTTTTGGGAGCAGGAGTAGGATGAGATGGGGAGGGAAGAACAGGTGAGCTTGGAAGCTATTATTCAAATAAAAATGAAGAGCAGTTGCAAAGAGGGAGAGGCTACTAAGAAAATAGGAAAGACTAGGGGCTGGGAAAAGGCGATCAGAGTTGTCAGATGGTGCAGGCTGCAGAAGGAACAAGTAGAAAGGAGGGTGTAACTTGGGAAGTGGGAGAAGTAGCAAATAGAAGGGGGTCGGGGTTAAGGCTGGAGAGGAAGGGCAACCCCCTGGTGAGGAGCGCTCGGCGAGGGGTCGGGGCAGAGGGCAGTGTGACCTGTTTGCTGGAACGAAGAGAGGGGAAGCAGAGGTGAGGGAGGAGGATGTCACCTTGGGTGCTCCTAGAGGGCAGGTGAACGCGGCTTGCCTGGGCGTGGAGAGTTGAGGGAGGGCGGAGGAGAGTGCAGGTGATTGTGACTGCGGGCCCGGCTGTACCTGAGAGTCTCCTTGCAGCTCGCCCACGTAGTACTGCTCAAGCCAGCGGCGCGCGTTGGCCGAGTGCCGGTGCGGCGGCCCGTCCAGGTCGGCGCTAACATCCTGGCCAGCTCGTGCCCGCAGCAGCTGCTCGCCCCCCGGGTGCTGCCGTAGGAAGCCGGTAAGGTCGTAGAGGCGGGCCCCACAGCGGACCCAGCAGGCGCCGGCCTCCAGGCGCTGCTGGACCTCGGCGGGTGAGAAGGAGGCAGCGCGGAGCGGAGTGGAGGCCATGGCGGGAGGCCGGAGCTCGCAGCTCGAAGCCCAGGCGTCCGCTCGGCAGTTGCCCAGCGCGCCTCTAACATCCCCTGAGCCTCGGCAGCCTTAACCCGCGGGCCGCCACCGCACCTGCTCATTTGCATGCGGCGCTCCCATTGGCCGCTCCGCGGGACGCGGCCCAAGCTCGGAGGGGCCGCCTTCCCCATTGGCAGGCAGGACGCCCCGCAGACCTCCGCGTGGCTGGCGGAGCGCTGAGTGCCGCCAGCCAGGTGGCCCCGGGCAGGTAGAGGGCGGGCACGCCCGCCAGGTGTGTCCCATCGCAGGCGGAGAGCCAAGGAGGCGGGCGGATCCAGAAGGACCAATTCTTCCTGTCTCCAGTGGCTGTCTGGAGGGACAGACATCCTCGGTGGCCTGATGGCCAGTGGAATAACTCTTCTGCTGCTGTTTTATGAGAGAAATTTGCAGTTTTCATCCTTAGGCTCCAGGACGGGTCAGGAGGTGGAAGGCAGGGTAAGGGCTAGAGTAAGGCAAGTGAGGCACTGGCCTCCAGCGCAAAATTTAAGGGACTACTACAAACTCAGTAATCACAATACATAACATTTTAATGTAATATTTAAAAAAGCATATCGGTGCACAACGATGTGAATATACTTCATGTCATAGAACTGTAAAATTTTAATGGTTAAAATGGTAAATTTTATATTATGTATATTTTTACTACAATAAAAATATATAATAATTTCTTTTTAATAAAGTCATATCGGCAAACCACAGCCTGCAGGCTGGCCACCTGCTTCTGTAAATAAAGTTTTACTGAAACCAGGACTAGTGAGGTGAGTGAAACAATATGATGAAAATGAAGGATGGGATCTTGTCTTTAATTTTTAAAGTTTTGATAGTTTGTTCATAATTTGATTTTTTTTGCATTAATTTTAAATTTCTAAAATACTGCATTAAAATATTCTTTATTTTAGAGCCAGCCATTTGTGAAGCTCCTCCTCTGTGTTTCAGAGAGCGGTAATTCATTGTTCAGGATGTTGCAAGTTTTGCTTCTTATTTGTTAGGCTCATAGATCCTACAACTGTCTGTAAATATTCTTTAAAGCTTAAAAAAATTTTTTTATCTTGATTACTGAGTTTTTTGGCGTGCCCTTAAGTTTTTCACCCAGAGTGACTGCCTCACTTGTGTTACCCTGGTCTCGCCCTGAAGGGAGGACCCTGAGGGAAGAATGGAGAATCCTGTTTCCATTATTGAAAGGGAACTAGGGACCTAAGAGAGTAAAGCCAGATGGTCATGCTAGAGGGAAAGGAAGACTGAGTGTACTCATCCAGTTTGGTTTATAAGAGGGAAGAGCTGCACACAATTTTACTTGCCCAGAGATTGGAGAACCTCACTTGAATTCATGATTTGTACTTTAAGGATCCTGGGACTGAGGCTACGCCATCTAGCTGGGCTCAGTCTCACTCAGGAAAAGGTATTTTCAGGGTCATCTTGGTTTATGCTCTTCTGAGGTTGGCATCTATGCCGAGCCAGCACTGTGGGGGAAGCCTGGCCCAGATGCGTCAGGAGCCACCCAACAATGGACGTGCCCAAGGTCAGGAATTGTCTCTTCCTTCTCTCCCTTCTAGGCCTCTCACCTGGCTCACCTTCAGAGAGTTGGCAAGAGATGGGTTGAGTCTATGGATCTGTTATGGAACTGCTGCCCAACAGGCCCAGAGGCCTTAGGACACTAATATTGCATTTCTCAAGTGGCAAATGTATAGTCACCTTCACTCCACTTCCATACCTACTGTTCCAAATATCTTGTATGTGCAAAAGCTGTCAAACACAGACTCATAGGTGTTCTCAGTTTCTTTCTACTGATATCTGTGCGACACCCTCATTTTGATTTCTTGCCATCACCTTAAACTCCTATTGTCTGAAGTTGAAACAAGCAATTTAGCCACCCGTTCAGAATTGTAACACGTTTCTTGCCACAGTAATTCCACTTCTAGAAATTTGATCCTAAAGATACTATATAAAGATGTATGCATAATAACCTTGTCACATTTTTCATAGACTAGAAACAACCCAAATATTTATCATTAGGGAGGACTGATTAAATAAACTATGTAGCCATTAGAAAGAATGAGATAGGTCTATGTGTATTGATAGAGAACAATATATCTCCAGTACATTGTAAGTGGAAAGCAACAAGAACAATGTATATGGTATGCTAACAATTATTTTGTTATTTTTAATTCTTTAGTCTTTAAAAATATTTTCAGTGCAACCAAAAGAGTATATATAAATTTTAAAGCAAAAATAGTATAATTAACTCAATGAATTTGCCTCCCAGCCCAAAAGCGAGGACATTACCAAACACTTGCACCTACTCCTATACTCCAAACCTCCCACCTCTCCACCTCCTCCCAAGAGGTAATCACTGTCCTGACTTTTGGGCTTTTCCTTACTTTGCTTTTATTTTTAATATATTTATCACATCTACATGTATGTCTATATAATACGCTGTTTTGATTAGCTTGTTTTTTAGTTTTTTGAAAATCATATAATATTGTATTTTACTTTATGTGGCATTGCACGTTTTATTCAATAGTGTTTTAAGATTTATCCATGTCGTTGAGGGTCAGTGTAGTTCATCGGTTTTCACTGCAGTGTCATATTCCACTATATGAATTTATTTACCCATTTTCCTTTACTTATAGGTAGGAATTTGAGTTGTTTCTTTTTTTTCTATTATAAGCATTCTTGTACATATAAGTGAGAGTTTATATAGTCCATATACCTAGGAATACAGTTGTAGTCATGGAGTATGCAAATGTCCACGTTTATAAGATAAAATGTAAATTAACTTCTAAGTGGTTGTACAATTTTACATCCCCATGAAAGATGTATGAAAATCCTTAACCCTAAGTCTTGGAACAAGGCAAGGCTCCCCACTTTCATTACTTATACTTAACATTGAATTTGAAGTCCTAGCCAATAATATAAGGCCAACAAAAGAAATGAAAGGCATAAAGAGCAGAAACAATGGCTTAAAAAATTCTCTACTTGCCGATAACATGATTGTTTACATAGAAAACCCCAAATGATTTGCAAAGCAACTAGAATAAATGAATGTAGCAAGTTCACAGGATCCAAAGTCAAAATACAAAATCAATTGTGTTTTAATTACGAGCAGCAAACAATTGGGGAATTAAATTTTAAGACTCCCATTTATGTCAAAAAGCATAAAATATGGGTCTACAGCCATGCCACCCTGAACATGCCTGATCCTGTCTGATTTCAGAAGCTAAGCAGGGTCGGGCCTGGTTAGTACTTGGCTGGGAGACCACCTAGGAAGACCAGGTGCTGTAGGCTTAAAAAAAAAAAAACAAAAACAACAACAAAAAAAACCCCTGTGACCTTTTGTTAGGCAAACAGTTCTTAACCAAGATACTGAAAGTGTAGCCCATAAAAGTATTGACAAACAACTTCATATGAATTAAAAACATTTGTTCTGTGAAAGACAATGTTAAGAGAATGAGAAGATAAGCCATAGCCCAGGAGAAAATATTTGCAAAAGACACATCTGATAAAGGACTGTTACCCAAGACGTACAAAGAGCTCTTAAAACTCAATAAGAAGAAAACAAATGGCCCAGTTAAAAAATGGGTCAAAGGCCTTAACAGACACCTCCTCAAAGAAGTTATACAGATTGCAAATAAGCATATTAAAAGACGCTCAACATCCTATGTCATCAATGAAATGCATATTAAAACAACAATGAGATACCACCACACACCTATTAGAGTATCCAAAATCAGAAACACCGACAAAATCAAATCCTGGCAAGGATGACAATCAACAGGAACTCATTCATTGCTGGTAGAGTGCAAAATGGTACAGCCACTTTGGAAGACAGTTTGGCAGCTTCTTACAAAACCAAACACATGCTATTATACAATCCAGCAATTGCGTTGCTTGATATTTATTCAAAGGAGTTGAAATTTTATGTCCATACAAAAATTTGCACATGAATGTTTATAGAAGCTTTATTCATAACTGCCAATGCTTGTAAGCAACCAAGAGATAATGAAGAAAGATTTTAAAGGAAGTCCTTC